GCATGTCAAGTCTCACTTTCATGTATGTTTTATGAATTGTAACAGTGAATTCGCATTTTAGATACTCTATTTAGGTTATGCTCAACCTAAATCCTTAGGCTCTAGAGCTTGTCTCCCCCACCTCCAACCAAGTATTAATTTTGTTACATGTCTTATCAGTTAACACTATATAATTTGCAAATAATATACACCATGACAAGAATGGGCTAAGAGATAATCCTTGTAACCCTATCTTAGTTGGGAAGTGCTCTGAGTCTCCTTGCATTATTTTAACCCAAATTTTGATTCCATCTTATATGACATTTATCGCTCTTATGTAAGCTGACACACCACTAGCCTCCAGGCATCTCTAGAGGACTTTCCTCAAGACTTTGTCGTGAGTACTCTTTTAAGGTCAATGGCACCATGCATAAGTCAATTTTCATTTTTTTGATAGTCTCCTCACAAGATGCTTGATTTCTATAGTGGATTGTACTAGTATGGATCTAAATTAATTGTCGAAAATGAACACACTCTCCCTCACCTCATCTTCACCACTCTCTCCTAATTTTTTGTAGTGTGCCTTAGCAACCGATTCCCCTATAATTGTAATAATTTTAAATGGATGACTTTGTGCAACAAAATTATTGTACTTCACCTTCATTCTTTGAGCATGTCTATCAAAATGATACTAAGCAAATAAGTTAATTACCACTTCATACTTAGACTTATTTTTGCCAAAAACTCCACAGAGATTTCGAAGCCTAAAGGGTATAAAATATTAATACAAATTTTAAAACAGTATCTAAAATTTTATATTAACTAAAACCGCAAAATCGCTGAAACAACAGCGATTTCCTCCGCCGGAAAAAACAAAATCGCTGCTACAACGGCGATCAGCGATTTTGTTAAATGTGATTTTTTTAAAAAAAATATATATTTTTCATTTAAAAAAAATAATTAAAAAAAATCGCTGCCTAGACAGAATTATCTCACATAATACTTATTTTTCCCAAAAAACTCCACAGAGATTTCATTTGATCCTATCGTTCTTCCTCTGCTCTTATCTCACAGAATACTTCAAATGGTCCACATGGTCTCTCTTGATTTCCTCCCAACTGGTCCTTGTAGTACTACTACCTCCATTTCATATTATAAGTCGTATTTTATGTTTTGAGAGTCAAACAATTTAAATTTGATCGGAGATTTACATATGGAATTTTCAATTTTTTTGGAATGAAATTTATATATTTGTAAACTATGTAAAAAGTACTATGTGTCACAATAATTGATAATTCAAAATATTTAAAAGATCTATAAAAAATTTATGGTCAAAGATAGACTTGTTTGACTCTTAAAATTCAAAAGGTGACATATAAAATAAGACGGAGAGAATACTTAAGTATATTGAGTGACTTTTTTTATATCATAACATATATTTAGTAATTCAATAATGCAGTAAAATGGAAGTTGAGTGACATCAAATTAACCCCATTGATGTTAATGGTGAAGTGGTTGAAGAGGGTTTTTTTTTTCCTTTTTAACGTACTTTTAAATTCATTGTTAGCAAGATATTTTTAGATCAAAAAAATTTGCGTGACAAGTAATCACGATACACACTTAAATTATTATTTCTAACGCAAGAATTACTAAACTTTGAGTATACTAATGTGAAAATCATACAATTCGAATGTATAACTTATTTTTACTCTTTTTTACAAAAGTTCAATAAACAAAACATTAATTTAAAAACTTCGATCACACTTAAAATACGATAAAGGTAGATAGATAATTTTGTGGTCATATTTTTTTCTTTTCACTACTATTTATCATGTTTGGTTTAAAGCAATGCTAGATAATTCTTCTAGATAACCACGTAAACAAAAAGATCCATTGAGTCCGTCAATTTTTAATAAGTTGCAACTTCAAATCGAAGTTAGATATTTATTATGATAATAGACAATAAACTATTCTTTCACTAGATTACACATGGTTTTTGATGAACTAAAATTATTTTTATTTTGTATTCCTCAACTGTAATTTTACATTTTAAAAAGTAACAGTGTTCATTGTTTTCATAAGATTAAAAAAATAAGAAATGACTATCGTTTTTCTATCATTTTTATATACTTTTGCTTAAGAATAACCATATATAGCCACAATATTATTTGGAAAGATAATAAAAAAAAATACAGACACGAGTTACACAAACGAGTTGAACAAGCAAGCCAGTACGATCAAATTTCTCTTTTGTCGCTTTTAGTCATTCTTTAATGTCGATAATAATTTTTATTGGTATTATTTTTTGATATATTTGGCGATTTATTTAGGGCAAATTATGTGAAGTGATCATTCGTCCATTTGACTTTACCAAATAATAATTGGTTCGATTTTCAAAATATTAAAATTGGCCTAATACTCTTCTTTTCGATTTTGCCATTATTCGCTTCTTTTCCTTCTTCTTATTCATTTTCTTTATCCTTTTCTTCTACTTCGTTTGCTTCCTCTCTTTTTTTTTTTTTTTAAAAATAAATAAATTAACATATCAAATATGTGAATCGTTTCAAGTGGATTATATATCAAAAGATTTGAAATACTGAGAAGATTTTATAACTAAAATGTTGGGACTTTTTAGAGGTAATTTTGAGTTGATCAAGATTCAATAATCAATGTATAATTAGGCTATATTAGTTTTTTGATTATGTCGTAATGTATTGTCATCGTATAACTCATGTATAAGTAAGCTATATTTATATATGCAGTGTATATCTTCTATGACTTTTGACAAGCTATATTGAATTTATACTTCCTAAGATTTTTTACTACTTTTTATGGTTAATAAAACATGACTTTATCTATTGTAAACCAATTACTTTATTGTATGTATTTAAAAGTAACACAATTTTTTATAGGCAACTTTCACATATAGCAAGATAAAATTCATATTTGTATGCTATAGCAAAGTTTGCATAATTGCACTTCATAGCAAACAAATAAATGTATAATTCGCTATACATATACAGTTGAAGCGAATTTTATAAAACAAAGTGTATAAAACGAGAAAGAGAAAGAGATTTGGGCAGAGAATTGTAAAAAACGAATTGTATAATTATAAGTGTATAGAACGCTTATATACAATTTAAATTTGTATAAAATGAGAAAGAGGAATATACAATTGAATCGAATTGTATAAAATGAGAAAAAGAGAAATTATATACAATTTGAATTTATATAAAACGAGATAGAGAGAAAGGCAAATGAAACTAGGCAATGGAGTATTTTTATTGTATAATTATAAGTGTTTAGGACAAAAATATATGTATTTGCATGTGTATATATAATTTTCTCTCGCTTTATACAAACAGATTCGCAATTTATACATTTCATTTCTGTTTGTATAAGCGAGAGAGGCGAGGATAGCGAGCGAAATCTGGGAGAGGGGAGAGAGGGGAACAAAAATCTATATATTTATACAATTCTCGTTTTATACAAATAGAAACAGATTTTATACACTTTGTTTGTATGAAAGAGAGAGGAAGCGAGCGAGAAATGGAGCGAGAGAGGAGAGTGGCGAGCGAGAGTTTGAGGGAGAGAGGTGACTGACAAACAGTTTGCTACGGGACACAATTAAATCAAAAGGTGATTATAGCAATTAATTTAATTTATTAGTTTGCCATTATATATAATTTTCTCATTTTTTATTAGCCTTTTGGTCCTTGGGGTTGTGGATTTTGGGTCGGGTCAAAGCTTTTAAATTGATATTTTATAGATTAAATTTTTGATCAAGAGGAAACAAAGAGTTACACCAAATTTAGATTTTTTTAAAAAATTAGAAATGATATAATCAAATGATTTTCTCTATATATATCCTATTGACAATCAGTGTTGGTGCTTGTATTAGTGCAAAAAGTAAGTCTAAATCTTAGGGCGCAAAGACTCATTTAGAATAATGATATATACTTCGATTAAATTTTCTTTATATTTAAGACTCAACTTTAATTTTTCAATTAATGATAAAATAATTTTAAAACTGCACCACACTATATGTTGGTAATTTACTCCCAACAATTTGATATTGTTATTTATTTAACTCTATGGTGACACCAACAGATCAAACCCACAAAATTACACCACCTTTTGTACGTGTGATTTTCAATCCACCTGAAGAATACAGCTGCAACAGTGTGGGGTACAAACTACAAACCAAAATGTGCCCTAAAGGACAAACACACACACCTAATAGGACCAACATCTTGTCACCTCAACCAGTCAAGTGATCACATTCATTTTATTTTTTTCCTTTTTCTCTTCTTGGATTTGCCACTTGATAGTTGGGATTTGGTATCATTTTGTGTCCTACTAAATTCAGGTTTGCACGATTTCGTAAATGAAATTATATTCAATTTGGGCACGTGATACAAAATTATGATTTGAAATCACACTAATATGAGATTAAATTTTATTTAGATATGTAAAAATGAAACCAAAATTGATAATTCGAATGGATAAAAAGTTATGGTTCATCGTAGTAGGTTATTGGCTTAATTAACAGTTTTAATTTTATTTATTATTGAGTTATCGATTTTTAACGGTTTAAAGTTTCTATTAATAAGTTAACTAATAGCCCGATACTAAATTAATTAATTATATTTGTATCATTCGATATATAAAATTCTTGACTTAGGATTTAGTTTCATATTTTTTGTTTCTGGCAGTTTCAAGCTTTTAGTTATTTTACAAGGTGTTAGTGTTATTTTTTTTAATCAAGATACAATCTATCAACTCATGTTTATGGTTTATCTGATTCGTCACTATGTTTCTAATTGATTTTCAATCATTTATTTTTTTGTGTCAAATCTTAACCGAATCAATAAGTCAATATCTTAATGGTTCTTAACGATTTAGCATGTCTACAGACGAATAACTGATAAATCAAACCAATAAATTTCAAAATCGAATCAAACCGAACGGACCGATATACAACCCTACAATCTCCTTTCTTTGAAGATATATAGAAACTCTACCCGTTGAAAATAATTACTTTTAAGGAATAGAAATATTACATTATCATAATATCTCTATGAGATATAAGATTATTATTACAATATCACAAGGGTCGGGATATAGGGCCAGGGTTCGTGACGATGCACGAATTGCATGCCCTAGCTAATTTATTTTGGTCAACGAAATAGTGACATTTACGAACATAATTTTTTCCATCGCCTTGCGATCGTTGGCAATTACTTGGTTATACTTATGGAAAACTTGATCCATATTCAATTCATCATGACCAAAATGGCTAACAAGTAAAGGTTCAGCCACAGATCTAAAGCTTTTTGCCATATCGTATTTCTCATCATCACAAGAATTCCTTTGAATTTCTGAAGTTTTCAAGATATCAATGGTGAAAGATCTCTCCTTTTCAACAATATGCATCACTTCTGATGGAGATGGATTGTATGCAGGAACATTGAATGAATCCACTTTTTCTGCATCTATTGATTCCTGTATATATTAATTATGTTATTTATGAACATTAACTTATATGTGTACTATAGTGTAAAATAACTTTATACTATTAGTTCAGAAAGAATTTATATTATCAAATCACCTAATAAAGAAAATCACCTAATAAAGAAATTTGTTATTGACAAGCTATTATACTAGGACAAAAAATATCTTAACTCATAAAAAAGGATTTTAAAAATTGGAAGTTATTAGTGCTTAGAGATAATATAATTTTAATGATAATTTATTTTTTATGACTATGATGTCTAGGTTAACTTTTATGCACTTCGACTAATTCTATAAAATACATATACCACCTCTCATAAATACCAAATAATTTGGTCCACCAAGATAATTGTGGTGTTCAAGTTAAATTTCGCGCACCTTAAGTAATTTAATGGGATACAATCACCCCCTACCTGTGCACCTCGACACTCTAAGGGATACCTACCACCTCTCACCAACAACAAATACTCCATCCGTCCACTATTTTTTGTCATAATTTTTATTTTTAGAGTCAAACTATAAGAACTTTGACTAACATTTTAAGATATTTTTTTTCATCATATTGATATGCAAAAAATTATAATTTATAGTTTTTGAATATCTAAATCTTTTGTCTAAAATCTCGAATTAGCTTAATCTAATTTAACATTGAAAATTAGTCAAACTGACTTTCAAAAAACGCTACATGACAAATAAAAGTGAACAAAGAGAGTATCAAGTAACTTGGTCAACCAAGATAACTATGGTGTTCGAACCAAACTTCAATCAATTTCAGGGGATAAATGTCACCTACTACTCGTGCACCTCTATTAACTCTATGGGATGCTTGCCAAACATATACCAAGTAACTAGCTTCATAAAGATGATTGTGGTGTCCGGACTAATTTCATTGATCTCGATTAATTTTATGAAATACATGTCACCTCCTACTCGTGCACCTCGATTAACTATATGTGATACCTGTCAACTCCTACCATCAACAAATATGATATAACCCCGTCCACCAAAGTTAGAACAAATAGAAAGAATCACCCAATATTTTTTTTTATTACTATTAAATTTTAAACCTGAAATCTCAAAATTCTCAACCACTTACCCTGGATCAATGGTGCCCATTAATATTATTAAAGTATCTTTTTTCTTAATTTTTTTTTAATAAAAAAAGACACACACTTACTTGTGCAATCAGAAGCTTGAGCGTCGTAGCCAAAAGTTCCCACTCATAGGAACACCCTTGGCTGAAGCGATCTTCATTTTTTCTACCCAACATGGTCAATACCATACGCCCATTTTTCATCAATTCTTCTGAGCGATACTTTAAAAATGTTACAAAATCTCTCTCAAATTGCTCATAATATGCTTTATGAACACTTGCTGGGCTTGTACTTGTTAGATAGATATTTCCCTTATTATTCTTTATTCCATCGGGAACCTATACAATTAATAACTGATATTTAAAAGATCGAAACATATGTATCATTTAAATCAATAAATAATGACTTATTTATGGTATTTCAGTTAAAAGTTATAAGTTTGGCTCATCTAAGTCATTTTCATTTGAAAAAAAATTCATATTATATGTGTCATTATTTGTTAACGGAAAACTATTCTGATTTTGCAAACTCAATTTCATTAGTGGCCAATAGCACGTAATTATTTTTTTTAATAAGTAAAAAAAACTCAATTAAATAATGACATAAATGAATATTTTTTTCAAATGAAAATGACTTAAGTGAGATTAATTTTTAACAAATAACACATATTTAAGACTTTCTTCCTATTATTATATTAGCATTAGAGATTGATACATACTTGAGAAAGCCAATGAAGACTATAAGAGGAGTGGACAAAGTGTAGGCTATTGGAAGGAAAAAGTCTAGTATAAAATGAACCAGCAACTCCTGTCACAAAGCAATTTGAAGGATCAAATAATGATCCATCTTCTCCCATATTTTGCTTCCTCAAACTTTGATGGAATGTTGGTAGCAATCGAAAAATGGTATTGAAATCATTGCTAGGAAGATCATTCAAGAAAACATGAAATTCCGGCGCCTTATGACGTCCCTTCTTTTTTCTTTCTTTATCAATAGTTTGAATGAATTGAGAGACTGACAAAAAAGTGTTTGGTCCAGAAGAACAACCTAAATCCGCAATGCATATCGTTTCTCTTGAGGAAAGGTTGTTGTAGAGAGAAGATATGGCTTCATCTGTTATTGATTTCGTCATGAGGATCACCTTTTGCTGTAGCAATTCAAAAAAAAGGACATTGTTATTTACGTAACTCATTGGAGTTCATAACAATTGTGGTAGGTCAAAATCTTAACTAAAACTGTCACTACTATAAGAACATTGTCGCCGAAAATTAGTATGAAAATTTGCTGAAAAATAAGTTTTCTTGTGGCGTGTGTGATATATAGTACCTGAAGCAGAGAATTTTTGGCATAGCTAGCATCTCCCATTCCTCCATTCATGTGAAGAACTTTAGTGACCTCCATCTTTTATTTTATGTGTGTGTATCCACTTTTGGCTTAATATATTTTCAATTAGATTGTTTGGTGGGGGGCTATTAAATATGTTTGGTACCACACTTTAACTTTATGTAATATCTATCACATTTATCTATCATGTTACTATATCTAGCTAGATACTACTCATTTTAATATCTAACCAATATTGATGACGTGAAAGACTTCTTCACCTATAAATAGTGGTGCACGTTCCTTTGTGTTTAATAGGAGATGATAAAAAATGTTAATTGAGATTAATAAAATATTTTAAGTCTTCAAATATATTTTATTATTTAAAAGAAAATATTTATATATTAGAATGAATTAATGTGTTCTTAATTAAATCTGAATTGGTTGAGTTGTACATATTTGGATATCAGGAAGGAGAGGACATTCTAATTTTGGAACCTAAACGGCGTGCGGAATTGGTGCAACCTCACGTTTATGGGTTGTTGTATATATTTTGAAGGAGATAAGTCAAGAGATATACTACTGGATTGGTGTAGATTATGTCACCGCATAGACTTGAATCTCTGTTAGAGAAGTGATATATATGCCTTAGCCTAAATATTTCTTATTCGCTTTTGTTATTTTATTTTCGACCAAAGGCTGTTGGCTATTACATTATTTTTCTTATGATGGATTCTGTAATACCAATGAGCTTGCTAATTTTATTTTCTTTCTTTTTCTTCAATTGAGGCATTGTAAACATGCATATATAGTAGACGTGCTAGATATTGGTCCACTTTGTAGAGCTAATATTTTGATTTAAGTGAAACAAAGTTTTGATTCATAGGATATGATTTAAGCATTTCTTTCTTAAGCCAATTTTTGACAAAATATTTGTTTACCCTAACCTTTATGTTTACATCAATTATATATGTAGCTTTCCATTTTCAACTTTTCTCTTAAGCTCCCCCTTATATCTCCCCCTTTTATTTAAGGAATATGTATTGATTAAACATAAAACGAAAACTTTTTAGAAAAATGTCCAGCAGTGTAATTCATGCGCATTTTTTTAATCACAAATAAAATTAGGATACGTAGCACATGGACCTAGTTTACCAATAAAATTTAACTTCTCTATTTTTTAAAAAATGAAAAATATCTTCAAACCTTTATTTAATAATCACAAAAAGATTAAAAAAGAAAATTTCTCTCACCCCACCTAACCACCCTTTGATTTAAAGATTTTTTTTTTTCAAATGTCAATATTTTAATATTTAAAAAGGGTAATTAGCAACACTTTCAATATTTAGTAAAAATGCCAAAATTTTAATTTGTTATATATCTTATTTATGTTTTTATAATTTATTTTTATTTAAAGAATAAAATTATATAATAACAAAAGGGAGAAAATCAATGGAGAGAATTTTTCAAAAAAAGGTAAAGATCACTTAATTTTCGCATCAGTTACATTATAAAACTCAAAATTTGTTTTTTTTCCTCCATAATCTTTATCTTTTTTTTTTATTAGTTTGTGTTCATTCCAATAGGTATGCCAAATGAATATATAGTTATTTAAGAAACACATTTGTATTCATATATTTTTTTCATGTGTATTTATTTGTTTCTTCAAAAAATTTATATTTCGTATTCATTTCAATATGTATTTTATTCGTATTTCTATTTATTCTAGTTTTTATTTAGAATATTGTATAATAATATATAAAATACAAAAAAGTAGTATGATGAAAAAGTGAGATATTAGTTTTTAGAGAAGGAATATATCACTTAAAATTAGCATAATTAACAACTGGTTCGATTTTTAAAATATTAAAATTGGCCTTATACTCTTCTTTTCGATTTTGCCATTATTCGCTTCTTTTCCTTCTTCTTATTCATTTTCTTCATCCTTTTCTTCTACTTCGTTTGCTTCCTCTCTGTTTTTTTTAAAAATAAATAAATAAATAAATTAACATATCAAATATGAGAATCGTTTCAAGTGAATTATATATCAAAAAAGATTTGAAACATTGAGAAGATTTTATATTTAAAATGTTGGGACTTTTTAGAGGTAATTTTAAGTTGATCAAGATTTAATAATCAATGTATAATTAGGCTATATTAGTTTTTTGATTGTATCGTAATGTATTGTCATCACATAACTCATGTATAAGTAAGCTATATTTATATATGCAGTGTATACCTTTTATGACTTTTGGCAAGCTATATTGAATTTATACTTCCTAAGATTTTTTACTACTTTTTATGTTTAATAAAACATGACTCTATTAATTGTAAACCAATTACTTTATAGTCAATATGTAAAAGTAGCACAATTTTTTATGGGCAACTTTCACATATAGCAAGATAAAATTTATATTTGTATGCTATAATAAAGTTTACATAATTGCACTCCATAGCAAACATATAAATGTATAACTCGCTATACATATACAATTGAAGCGAATTGTATAAAACGAGAAAAAGAAAGAGATTTGGGTAGAGAATTGTAAAAAATGAATTGTATAATTATAAGTGTATAGAACGATTATATATAATTTAAATTTGTATAAAATGAGAAAGATGAATATACAATTGAATCGAATTGTAAAAACGAGAAAAAGAGAAATTATATACAATTTGTATAAACGAGATAGAGAGAAAGGCTAAAGAAACTGGGCAAGGGAGTATTTTTATTGTATAATTATAAATGTATAGGACAAAAATATATGTATTTGCATGTGTATATATAATTTTCTCTCGCTTTATACAATCAGATTCACAATTTATACATTTCGTTTCGGTTTATATAAGCGAGAGAGGCGAGGGTGGCAAGCGAGATCTGGGAGAGGGGAACAAAAATATATGTATTTATACAATTTCCTCTCGCTTTATACAAATAGAAATCGATTTTATACACTTGTGATTTATAAAAGTGAGAGGAAGCGAGCGAGAGAGGAGAGTGGCGAGCGAGAGTTTGAGGGAGAGAAGTGACTGACAAACAGTTTGCTACGAGACAAAATTAAATCAAAGGATGGTTGTAGAAATTAATTTGATTTATTAATTTTTCATTATATACAATTTTCTCATTTTTTATTAGCCTTTTGGTCGTTGGGGTTGTAGATTTTGGGTCGGGTCAAAGCTTTTATATTGATATTTTATAGATTAAATTTTTGTAGAAGAGTAACAAAGAGTACACCAAATTTAGATTTTTAAAAAAAATTAGAAATGATATAATCAAATGATTTTTTCTCTATATATATCCTATTGACAATCAGTGTTCTTGCATTAGTGCAAAAAGTAAATCTAAATCTTAGGGCGCAACACTCATTTAGAATGGTATATACTCCAATCAAATTTTCTTCATATTTAAGATTCAAAGTTTAAATTTTTAATTAATGATAAAGTAGCTTCAAAACTGCACCACAATATATATCGATAATTTACCCCCAACTAATTGATATTGTTATTTATTAAATTTTACGGTGACACACAACAATTCAAACCCAAAAAACGTACGCCACCTTCTGTACGTGTGATTTTCAATCCACTTGAAGAATACAGCTGCAACAGTGTGGGGGTACAAACTACAAACCAAAATGTGCCCTAAAGGACAAACACACACACCAAATAGGATCAACATCTTGTCACCTCAACCAATCAAGTGATCACATTCATTTTATTTTTTTCCTTTTTCTCTTCTTGGATTTGCCACTTGATAGTTGAGATTTGGTAATCATTTTGTGTCCTACTAAATTCATGTTTGCACAATTTTGTAAATGAAATTATATTCATTTTATGTCTCATCTCGTTTGGAAACGTGATTGTCACGACCCAAATTTTGCAAGTCGTGATAGCACCTATGTTCCCAACCAATAGGTAAGCCAACCCAACATATTAACCCAACTAAACCAATAAATGAGTAAAAAAAGACTAACACTTAGCAAGAATCTCCAACATTGAGTTCCTTATAAGTACGAAATGCGGAAGATAAAATATATCACCCCAAGAATTGGTGTCTTAAATACAAGAGCTTCTAAAATTCGATGCAAGTCTGAAACTAAATGACAAATCTAATATAAGGGATATCCTGTTTTAATACTAATAACAGAATAAATAAAAGATAGAGGGAGATGTGGGCCATGAAACAGCCAAGCAGCTCACCACAACTCCAAGCTCGGACTCAAATTGCTCCACGAGATGTGCTTCTACTCGAAATCAAATCTGCACCACAAAGAGTGCAACAAGCGTAGTATGAGTACGAAACCACGTGTACCCAGTATGTCTCATTGACCGACAACGAAGAAGTAGTGACGGGAGTTATATAAGAAAATAAATTCTTAGATTGTACAAGTATATATATATATATATTACACTTACTATTTAAGTTTCATCAATAAAGGAAATCAACATTTAATATTTTCCAAACACCAAAAGAAACATATAGTCATCAAGAATGAATGATGGGATGAAATGCAATGCAATATGATGCCATGTAATGATATGTCTCAGAATACCCAGTACACATTCAACTGTATATACATGATACTCCTCGGAAATACATCGAGAGTTCATGACCCACGGGACTCGTGAGGTCCATATACCGACACGGACGATCTCCACGTGTTTGTGCGGACGATCTCAACGCACTATCATAATATCAAACAATTTGCGCACGACGGTCTCCACGTGCCTAAATTACAATCTTAACATCTCACCATCCCCAGCACGGACGATCTCCACGTGCCCAACTTATACTCAGTCTCATCTCTATGCATGTGCACAATATTGTTTCAATAGAGGGGATGATGATGCATCTCAATCAATCAATATGAATATAATACATAACCACCTCAATTATCTCAACTATACGGGTGAAGTAAATAAAACACAATCACACAAGGAATTCAAGTCAATAATATATCAGCTAATGCCCATATGCTTTGGCATTCTCAAATTTCAATCCACATTCTATAATAGAAATTTTCCGTTTTATAACACCGGTACTCGTACCAATGCCCGTTACACCATTGATACGAGACCACCATATTTTCCCCTTACCCCTTTGTCTATTTTTATTTTTAATCTTTAATTAGGAAAACGTCCTTCAACAAGTCTAACAAGTCTTAACATACCTTAGTACCGAGCTTGTGCCACGAATCTTTTAAGATTTTTCCTTTCCTTTTCGCACGGTTTCGGAACGTTCCC